AAATGCACAGTTGTTGGCCATTTACCCCACGGGCTTTTTCTCTGTGTATTTTCAGAAACCCTTCTGCTGAGAACCTTGACTGCAGCTCTCTTGGTGGCATCAGTGCCTGTCTTCCTATACCCCCTGAAATTTCTCTGGTGAAGTCCATTATTTGGAATCTTTTAAAAATGACACCAGCATAGCTTCTTTCAGAGTATCCGTATCTGGTCCCCAGAAAGTAGGCATCTTTGCCCCACTGTCTGTGAACATGTAACTCATTTCCAACACAGCCTCCCTTGCTTTGTTCTGCCATGGGCTTGAGCAGCTCCAGCCTCTTGCTTGTTTATAGACTGTTTCAGGCATGGGTTTGATACCTCACACCCAGGAAGATGTCAAAATCTCCAAGCATTCCCCTTAAGCTTCTTTGTATTCAAATGAGACATATGAACTGGAAATATAAATTTGAGAGTTATTAGAATGGATGGAAATTGAAGTCATAAGATCTTATAGGGAAAGAATGTAGATTTAGAAGTGAGCAGATAGGCCTTATTGAGATAATTGGTTTTTGAGTTGGGACACCATGATTAGTTAATCACTACAAAGAATCCCAGTGGGATAAGCCACTCTGATAAGCATTCCAGGCTTGTCCCTATTGTAGAATCCATGCTTATCTTGCTTCTGCTGCTACAGGATCTCATAATTGCCTTTGAAACCAGGAAGCCAATTTCAATGGCAGCATCTCTCATCTTTATTCAGGCATGGAAGATATAGCCACTACAGTGCTTTTCATGGATGCTGATGTATTTTTAAATGTCCTCTGAGACCTCCTATAGAACATGGTGGGGAGTAGGTTAGCTTATCATTGGTGATAGCATTCCAGCAAACAATTCTCACTGAATGTTTGGATATGTTCTTCTGTGTAACACCAAGAAACTGCTGGCATCCCAGTTTTATTAAGCATAAGCCACTGTTGAGCCAAGGTTTCAAATAACCAAAGAAATAGTTAGAACCAATTTAAGATTCATAACATCTGAATTATGGTATATGGAATTCAGAAGCTCTGGTAGGTGCACATATGTCAATAAACTTAGCCTGACCTAAAATTACCCGTATGTTCTTTTCTCCTTGTGTGGCACTCTTAGGATCCATTCCCACACATAGTGTACATGGCTTTTGTTAAAATAAATTAACAAAGCCTTCATTTCTTGAGGCATCCTGGGATCTAATTCTGGTTACAAGTCTGCAGGCAATAAGAGGTAATGGAGGTGGAGTATGAGAAGGGCTGGATTTCCCTGGAAGGTAACTACCTTGGTTGGGCCTTCCAACCATGAGGACTAGGCTTATAAAACTTGGGAAGAGAGTCTGCTTCTATGGACAAGGGAGATTCTGTAGGGCTTGGAGTTTTAGTTTTGGTGTGCTCAGAGTAAACCTGGAAGGAAAGGGTTAGCACCAAACCTATAATCCATTCCCCTTCTCCCTAGAGATGCTCAGAGAGGAATGAATGATCTCAAAACTCCTTGTAAATATGCTAATAAACCAACCCCCTGGAAAACACACTGAAGATATTTATTAGCCAAAGATAATGAGAGTCCTTATCTACGAAAATTTCTAGCAGGATATAACCTGGCGTATCTGGGTTACTTATTGTAAAGAAACCTGGAAATTATAGATTTGTAGGGTGGGAGACATGGCTGGCTGGAGATGTGTAATTCATGGGATATCCGATAAGGCTGCTCCACAACCACCAAGATCCCATCTTTGAAGCAATGTTTCCACGTACTTTGCTCAGAACACACCTCACATTCTAAGTCCAAGATCAAGCAGAATGGATCCTAATACGGGAGAGGAAAAAACTTTTTATGAGTAGCTGCATTTGACAGGACCAGATTTCTCCAAGGGAAAATGTTTTCTTTGTACCTTATAATTGCCTGCACTTTTTTAATCATTAGTTAAGGTTGAGTAAGACCACAGAATCACATGAGATTCATGTGAGTCTGATTTGATCACCAAACCTTTGTGTTGTGAGGCGTTTAGTTTGCTAATAGGTTGTTTAAGACTTTTGCATGTATGTACATAGGAGAGGTTGACCTATATAACCACGCTCCACTTACCGACAGGGATATGTTCTGAGAAATGCATCCTTAAGTTATTTTGTCATTGTGTGAACATCATGGAGTGTGCTTACTCAACCCTAAATTGTATAGCCTATTACACACCTAGGCTATGTGATATAGAATATTACTCCTATAGGCTACAAACCTGTACAGCATGTTACTGTACTGAATACTATAGGCAGTTGTGATACAATAATTAGTTTTTGTGTATCTAAACATATCTAAACATAGAAAAGGCACTTTACTTTTATACAACTAGCAATACAGTAGGTTTGTTTACACTGCAAACCCTTGACTAATGTATTGCTCTATGACATTAATTATGACTACAATGTTACTAGGCAATGGAAAATTTTCAACTCCCTTATAATCATATGGGACCAAACATCATATATGCAGTTTATTGTTGACTGAAGTGTTATTATGGCACATGACTGTACTTTTTCTTTTCTGGTGATGTCTTTATTGAGTTTAGGTGTCAATGTTTTGTTGGCTTCACAAGAGAAGTTACTAAATGTTACCTCTCTTTCTGTTCTCTGGAAGAGTTTGTTAAAGATTGGAAATATTTCTTCCTTAAATGTTTGGTAAAGTTACCAATCATACCAGCAAGGCTTGGAGTTATTTTGTGAGAAGGATTAATTATGGATTCAATTATTTTAATAGATATAGAGATTATAGAAAGGAAGGAACTAAGCACCCTCTAGAAGGCAGGACAGATGTAGAAAGACTATTTCTTTTTTTTCTTTTTTATGATCTTCTCTTTTTTTTTTTCCCTCCCCCCTATGATCTTCTCTTTTAATGTAAGCTCTTACAACTATAAGTGTTCCTCTTAGCACTGCTTTTGCTGCATCCCATAAGTTTGGTACGTTGCGTTTTCATTTTCATTTGTCTCAAGATATTTTCTTTTTTTCTTTTTGTTTTTTATTAGTGTTTTTTATTTTTTATTGTTAGTTTCAGGTGTACAGAACAATGCAATAGTTATCCTTTTTACCCTTCACACAGAAACAACCCCCTCCCCCATCAACTGTCCTCCCACCCCCAATATCATGCTTATCTATTACAATTCCATTGACTCCATTCCCACACTCTACTGCATGTCCCGTGACTATATGTATATAATTATAGTTGACATACATTATTATTCAACATCAGCGAAAGACTATTTCAAGTGGAAGAAGTTAAAGTTATGTCTGCTTGGTCTCAATGTTCTTTCTCTATGAAATATATAGTGTTCTGGCAGGCAGATATTTTTCATCTGTTCAACAACTGTTTATTGAATGCTGACTATGT